CTCATGACTTGAGAGACCTATGTAACCTAGGCTCTAATACCAACTTGTCACGACCCAACCCCAGTCGTAATGGCGCCCAACATACTGCTAGGCAAGCCTGACCAATTAACAACCTCAACCCATTTCTTATATAGTTCATTATTAGCGAACACAGTTAAATTTCCAAAACACCATATTAACAGTCTGAAACTAGAGTTAAATAGGCGGAGTTTCAAATGATAAAACTACTACTACATAGCCCATATAGATCCGGTGTCACAAGTCTGAGCCTTTAATACCAGTTTATCACCCTAATACATATCAATCTAGGGAATACGGATAAAACAAAATGATAGAAAGGAGAGATTAGGGCTACGGACGCCATGCAGCTACCTCGATGCTCCCGTATATGCGCTGCTCAACTGAAAATCCTCACTCAGCCTCAGATGCTCCTGGATCTGCACGCAAGGTACATGGAGTAATGTGAGTACTCCGACCCAGTGAGTAATAAGCATAAATAATAACTGAGAATAAGAAATCACGGAGAAATACAGAGTAATCTATAATGCGGCATTTTAAACAAGTAATATGAAAGCAATAAACCAATGGAAACGAAATATGGAAATGCTACAACAAATAAGCAGTTAAGTGATAGACATATAAAGAAAATCAATATATAGAACGGTACCCTATAGTACCTGCTGCGGCGTGCAGCCCGATCCATACATTTATCATCGACGGCGCTCACTGGGGTTATGTAGACTCCGGGAGGACCCCCTTAAGGACCAAGCGCAATATCAAGCCATCTCGTGGCATCAAATCTAGGCCCTCGGCCTCATATCAATATCAGTATAATACTGTTGCGGCGCGCAGCCCGATCCCATAATATCCTCACATCTGGCCCTTGGTCGTACTTAGTCCAAAAATCATATAAGCCCCTCGGGCATTAGTAAAACAGTAGTTCTCAGTCCAAAACATCATTTAATATATCATTTTAGTTTCAAAACCGAGTAAAAAGTGGCTGAGTTGTAAAACAGTGGAAAACGGTACGACTAAGTTCAAGTAGTAAGTCAAAACAGTGAGGAAATAGTGATAAAACTCCCCGGAGGATTCAAATAATTGCCACAAAACCCAAATATGGCAGTCAGTTCAAACATTGATGAGAACAAATAAGTTTCAACCAAAATACGCGGTAAAAACATCACTCGGGACGGACCAAATCACAATCCCCAATAGTAAACGACCCCACGCTCATCATCAAACGCGTGTCTCACCTAAATATAGCACTACGATGTGCAAATCCGGGGTTTCAAACCCTCAGGACATCATTTACATTCATTACTTACCTCGAACCGGCTAATTCTCTAGCTCGCAATGCCTTTGCCCCTCGAATTGGCCTCCACGCGTGTCGAAACTATCCAAAATCAGAACGAATACGTCACAATATGCCAAGGGAACAAAGCCCAAGCGAAAACATTCGAAAAATATCAAAAATCCCGAAATTAGCAAAACCCGAGCCCCGGGCCCACGTCTCGGAATCGGGTAAAATTTACATTTTTAGAATTCTCATACTTTCACGAGTCTACCCATACCAAAATTATCCAATTCCGATACCATTTGGTCCTTCAAATCATCATTTTATATTTTTGAAAGGTTTCACAATTTTCTTCCCAAATTCCATCTCAAATCACGAATTAAATGATGAATTCAATGATAGATTCATGTACTCTAGCCAAATCTAAGTTAGAATCACTTACCCCGATGAATTTCTTGAAAAACTTTCGAAAAATCGCCAAAATCCGAGCTCTCTAGATCAAAATATTAAATAAAACCCAAAACCTCGTATTTATAGAGTACCCCTAAGATTTCAGCCTCCGCGGTCCGCACCGAACCACCGCAGTCCGCGCAAAAGCACCGCGATCCGCACAAAACCACCGTGGCCCGCACAAAACCGCCGCGGCCGCACTTCATTTTTTGTGGTCCGCGCCGCACATACCGCGGCCGCACTCCTTTTTGTGTGGTCCGCGCGGGTGAGTTCCGAGGCCTACAACCCTTCTGGACCTGTTACAACTATGATTTTCGGCCCAAGACATCTCGGAACCTACCCGAAACTTCAAACCAATTGTACCAACACATCCCATGACATCGTTCAAACTTGTTCAAAACCTCGGGACGCGCACAACAACATCAAATCACCAATTTAACAGGGGATTCAAGCCTAAGAACTCCAAGAACTCTTAAATTATGCTTTCGATCAAAAAGTCTATCAAATCTCGTCCGAATGACCTGAAATTTTGCACACACATCCCAAATGACACAACGAAGCTACTGTCACTCTCGGAATTTCATTCCGACCCCTATATCAAAATCTCGCCTATCAACCGGAACCGCCAAAATATCAACTTCGCCAATTTAAGCCTAAATCTTCTCTACAACTCCAAAACCCATTCCGATCGCGCTCTTAAGTCACAAATCACCTCCTGAAGCTAACCGAACCATCGGAACTCACTTCCGAGCCTTCTAAAACATAAGTCAACATCCGGTTTACTTTTTCCAACTTAAGCCTTCTTAAAAGAGACTAAGTGTCTCATTTCTTACCAAATCTTCTCCGAACTCGAACTAATCCACCCGATCACATAAAATACGGATAACGAAGCATAAAGAAGCTAAAATAGGGAAAAATGGAGCGGTAACTCATGAGACGACTGGCCGGGGCGTCACAGGTTTGGAGTTTATATCTCAATTTTGAGAGGTTTTGGTGAAGATTGGACTTGGTTTTGGCTGAATTTCAGATTGAAACTCGAAAAAGAAGAAGAAGACATGACATACATTATACTGCAGAAACTATAGTAAAATTGAAGAAAAATTGTATTCTATTGTTTATATATTTTTCTTTTATTTATTTAACTATTGTATGAAAGTTGAACAACATTGTATAAAAATTATATTTAAGTTGTATGATATTGTAGTTGTATATAACTGAGTAGAAATAATATATGAAAATTGTAGATAAGTTGTATAATATATAATTAGTTGTATAAAATTTATTTTTACTATGTATAAATCAAATACAAAATATACAAAAGACATATTTGTATAAAATTTGTATTTATGTTGTATGACATTGTAGTTGTATTTAACTGGGTAGAAATAATGTGTCAAAGTGTAGATAAGTTATAGATAAGTTGTATAATAAGTTATAGATAAATGATGGCGTCAATTTAGCCTTTAGCCAAAAGTCTTATTTTGATGACATGCACTTATGCCTTTTTAGCATTTCTTCACGTGTTGGAGATATTGTTGGGATTTCATTTCCTTACTTGATTTTGAGCTATATTTTTTTGATGTTTTGTTTCTCATTCGAAAAAAAAAGTATATAAAACTTAAACGTATTAAAATATCAACACCCTGAAATAGTTAAATCTTTAATTGTACCAAACTAATCCATAGGAGGAATATGTTTACATTCTTGCTTTCTTTTCCTTGAATCCATGACAAGTGCTATTACTTTTTCAAGTACAGTTTCTTTTACGTCCAAATGCATACCTCTGGTAGCCTTACCAACTGTTTGCCTTAGTTTTATACCAACTTGAAAGAAACTGATTAACTGTAGCAGTTGCAACTGTCAAAACTCACAATATCAAACAGTAAATGCAATTGCTTGTATTAAAAGGAAGAACAATTACAACTTCTGAAATTGCAGCAATAAAACAGTAACCAACATGGAAAATACTAGGAGAGTAAGGATAGAACCAAAGAAGGGGAGATGAGAGGGAACAGAGTAGTGCAGAAGGGGGATGAGGATACAGAGATTCCACAACTTTTAGCCTGCTATACTGAGTGCGCGAGTGGCCTATTTGTAACAACCACAGTCTATTCTCACACATAAAGCACGTGCCCGCTATTAACCTCGATTCAAAACGTAGTCACCAAGTCTTTGGAATTCTCACCCTAGAGCTTCTCCTAATTGTGCTTGTTACCCCGGCATTCACATTTTCGCATCCAAACTCTTCAGTGTTCATAACATTAACAATCGCTTTATTAAAAAAAAAAAAAAAATTAACGCAGCGTTTCCACTTGCCTCTATTCGGCATCAGTGTATAACCCTCTGATAAGGGATTATAATATAATGAAGGAGAAAGACAGAATCTGGAGAGAGGAGAAAAAAAAAGGGTGTAACTAAATACCTTAATTGAAGGCACTAAAAATGGGTTGAGAGCTTTTTAAGGTGGAATGTATATATTTTGTAAACAAAACTTGTGTAGGTAGGGTAATTTACTAAACATGAACATTTAGGGTAATAAAGTTTCCAATAGTGTATAAGAATGAAAAAATCACGTACCAAATTATGCACAGCCCTAGCCGAAAACGCTTTAGCGCTAATAACTGGGAGAAATTTAAAAATAGTCAGATTTACAACTGGTCATTCAAAAATAGCCACAGTTTCAAAAGTAATCGAAATTTAGCCATTTTTCATGTAAAGATAAATCTGAGCGAAAACACTGTTCAAAACCTGGAAAATACGCTCGTATATTATTCTGGAGTTCCAGCATAAGTATGCTTGAACTCCAGCATAATATACGGGAGTTCCAGGATAACTATGCTGGAACTCTAGCATAATATGTTGGAGTTCCAGCATAAGTACACTAGAACTCTAGCATAATATACGGGAGTTTCAGCAAGTATAAATGTCCAGTATAATATACTGGAGTTTGGAGCACCGATGCTCCAATCTCCCGTATATTATACAGGAGTCAGCAAAGTATACCGGTCCAGCATCATATGCTGGAGTTTGTACACAGATGCACCGAACTACCATATATTATATGGGATTGGTCTCTGTTGCAGCAAAATAGTGGCTATTTTTCATTGACTTCGTAAACAGTGACTATTTTTGATTGATCAGTCCGAAAACTGGCTATACCGTGCTATTTTGACCTAATAACTTGGATTGGGCTGACCCATTAATTGATTCGGCCCATCTAAACTATTGTCTCTGTTGTGAAGAGCAGTCAGAAAAGAGGGCAGAATAGGAGGGTTCTGAAACAACAATTGTAAAGAAAGAAAAGATTGATAAAGGATGAGATTGTGGAGAAATGGTAACGTGACCATCCTTGGATCAATAAAATCATGGAAGTCACTGTTGGATCTAAAGAGGAAGGACCAAATATCAACTGCTGCACTGTCTACATCTACAGTGACGACGAGCCGAAGAAGAATCCCAACTGTTTTTAATCTTGTTCGTTTATATTCTACGGAAGAGCTGCAGCAGCCTCAATTGTCTGTTGACCTAATTAAAATGATGGAACAAAGATTATCATCAATTGAGAACAGAAATGCTCATCTTCAGCGTTTTCTAAATCAGCCAGAGTTAACACCTTCTGAATATTCAACTGCCAACAAAGAGCTCAAGAAACTCAGAGATTCAGTAGATCTCATAACCGAGTTAAGGGCAAAACAGAAAGAGATTCAGGAACTGAAATCGGTACTTTCCGAATGCCAAGATGACAAGGACATGCAGAAGATGGCTTCGGAGGAATTGAGTGAAGCCACAGAAGGAGAGAAAGAATTGCAGCTTCTCCTTCTAAAGTCATTACTACCCAAAGACGATGCTGACGAGAGGGACTCCATTCTCGAAGTGAGGGCAGGAACTGGAGGGGAAGAAGCTTCTTTGTTTGCAATGGACATATTCAAAATGTACGAAAAATATTCGGCGAAGAAAGGTTGGAAATACGAGGTTCTAGAAATAGCTGAGTCTGATCTTAAAGGATACAAAGAAGCTATTGCCTCTATATCTGGATCTGGTGTATACGGGAAATTGAAATTCGAAAGTGGAATTCACAGAGTTCAGCGAGTGCCTGTGACAGAGAAAGGTGGACGCGTTCACACCAGTGCTGTCTCCGTTGCAATTCTACCGCAGGCAGATCAGTTAGATGTGAAATTGAGAAATGAAGATTTGAAAATTGATACTTACAGGTCAGGAGGATCAGGAGGTCAGCACGCGAATACCACAAACAGTGCTGTGAGAATCACTCACGTGCCATCGGGGATAACTGTTTCCATACAAGACGAGCGATCCCAGCATATGAACAAGGCCAAAGCACTAAAAATATTGTGTGCAAAACTATATGAAATCGAGCGACTCAGATTTCAGTCGAGTAGATCAAAACTTCGATTAGAGCAGATTGGCAGTGGGGACAGATCTGAACGGATCCGCACATATAACTTCCCTCAAGGACGGGTTACTGATCACCGCGTTGGCATCACAACTCATTCCTTAGATGATGTTATGCAGGGAGAGGATTTGGATACTTTCATTGATGCTCTCCTTTTGCGGGAGGAAATGGACGCCATTGCATCCTTCAGCTCCACCTAATGTTAGCTGTCAGCAATCGCGCTGGTTAGTGGTTACCCTTATATTTACTTCGTAAGAAAAGAGTTGGTGGTGGGATTGTGCATTGATAAATTATAGTTTCCATTGTGCTTCCAGCTGTTAGAAGAGCAACAATTTTTGCCCCCAATGAAGCTACCTATCGAATAGTTTAGATGTAGGGAAGTTTTTAGGTAGGGAAGCTGGAAATAGTGTGTGTATAATGAGTGAAGTGCTTGTTTTATATGCGCGTCAGGTCCTTTTCTTTCTTTTCCTTGGTAGTCGAGAGGCGGATTTTCTCTCCTAGTATTGTGCAATGTTGGAGAGCGGAAAGAGTTGAAATTGCAACTACATTCCTATTTGAATAATTTTTTGAGAGAACTCAAATTTTGTGGGAATAAATTCTACTCGAAAAAAAAAACTATTGTCTCGTTATCTTCCTCTGAAATTCTCAAATCTTCAAAAGATTATTGCAGAAAAATTTGAATTTAGTTCCTCCAGTAAAGAAAGTGTACCACATCAAAGTTTAAGATCTATGCTTCATTGTGGAAACTGAAAAGTTCAAGTAAATCCTAACTCATGTAGGCTTGAAAGTAACATACAGTTGTGATGATATGTCAAATTCGGATGAGATAATAAAAGTCTTGGTAAAGCAATATATGTCTACAAATTGGTGCAAAGAGCAGACTCAGATAGTTGATGTTTCCAATTCTGCCCGGGAAATTCAAACAACCCAATATTAAGACATGGCAAATGAATGCGTTGACAGTCACAATACAGCCTCCAGATTGGGCTAGAAGATCATTTTCTTGACTCTTATATTGTATGCTTTCATCGTGTTCATGTGCGTACATTTCCAATCATTCATTTGTCTGTTACACCACAACGTGCTTATTTGTTAGTATTATACTTATGTTGGTTGCCTGCTCTTATACCTAAAAGAGGTTATCATCTGCTATATCCTTGAATCTGAGGCTAAAAGTTGTTGAAGTTTTGATGATCGATCAGTTCCCCTTCTTGCTCATAATCTTGGGAAGAGTACTGCAATCATTTTATTAAGTGTTTGATATACAGTTACTTTGTCTATTTCTTGTGAAACTTTTTTGTGAGGAAGGGAACAGAGGCAAAAATGATATACAGACTGCTAATTAGGGGAATTAGGGTGATTACACATGCTGAATCATTTTAGTATAAACTTCTATTAATTGTTTGATTCTGGTTTTTCCATTAGTCATTCCACTGAGTTTTTCCCTTTTGGACAATGATAGATTCTTGAAATTCTGTGCTATGAATGTAGTCATCCAATACTAGTAGTCGCCAAGGCTTTTGGCTTGAAAAATCTGTCAAAGCTTAATGTGAATGCAGGCACCAGAAGTTAGAAGTTCAACTAAACTCCATGACTGCTAGTCAATCAATTTTGAGTGTTCTTCCAAGGAATAAAGAGAAATAAGTGGGACAAAGTGTAATCAATCATCTGTTGACTTGAAACCTGTCCTAAACTCTTAACAGTCTAAAGTAACTCAAGAGAAGTTGAGAATGCTAAAATCTTACCCTTTTCTAATGATGGAAATTGTTTGAGAAAGATTCAAAGTCAAAAGAAATGCACCAGGGGGTATTCAAAGTTTATAAAACAGAGTTCACTCAAATTATAGGGTCGCCAGAAGGTTGGAGCTTTTTCAAGGGGTGCAGAAAGATTGAGGATTTGGAAAAGCTTTTCGTGTGTCCATTGGTTCAACCTAAGGCACCAGAAAATGGCAAATTAAAATCAAGGATAAGTTTGATATCAAAGAGATTTAAATTCATCGAGCACTGCAAAAGTATGTGCAGTCGAGTAGTTTCTGACAATATACAATACTAGAATAGTCCAGTTAACTCCATTCACTTGTTTGCGATTTTTTATGTATTTGAGACTTGACTCTCGTTACAAGGAAATGAGCAACTAAGAGAGATGATGTAGATTCATTGTTAGACACCATAGAGGTTCTTCGAAGAAGAACAAGGACATACTTTTTGCTCTTTTTGATCTATAAATATGGCTACTAGCACAGTCCTTTGTGCTAAAGATATGTAAGATTGCTACCCTTCTCAAAAGAAAAGAAGATGAGCAACTAAGAGAGCTGCAGATGGAAAAAGAGTTCTTCTCTTTCAATAAAAAGAGGGAGCAACATTCTTTGAACACACTATCTCACTGTAAAAATATAACTTACAAATTCTAATTTGTTAATCATCCATGCTTGATCAAACATCAAAACATGTCAAGGTAATTCAATCTAGCCTCACTTCAATGTAAGGGATGGATAAATTTTCCGTGTCACTGTTTTGAACATCTTTCGGATCTCCTCTGAAAATCACATTGTAGAAGATAGAAAAGAGTTCGTCTCTTCTAAGGCGTGTGGTTCATTGGAGGTGTGAGACGTTTTGTGGTGAGATTGATGATATTATAGGTGTACTCTTGAGAAACTCTTTTTAATCAGAAGAACAAATGCTTCTTCATATTAGGTTCAAGGGTTTGAATATATGAAACCTTTGTTTTAACACTACTGTTCTGTAGGATCTGTTGGTAACAACAACAACAACATACCCAGTATTATCCTACACCGTGGGGTCTGGGGAGGGTAGTGTATACGCAGACCTTACCCCTACCTTGTAAGGACAGAGAGGTTGTTTCTAATAGACTGTAGGATCTGCCGGTAAGACTCATATATATGAAGAAAATTCTTTAAGGAGCCAGTTTGCCATTCAAGGGCCAACTAAGTTATATTTCATGCTGTATGGATTGCCTCTATCAATAATAGATTGCTAAAGTGACTAACATAATACCAAGTTCATGTGTAGAGTTTGAAGCAGCGTACAAGGTATACACAATTTGATTGATCTTGCTGGCAGAGTGATATTTTCAAATATGCAGTTCGAGAAGACAAATTGATGGGGCATAGCACTTTTTTCTCTGTTATATCCACTTTTAAGTGTCTTTCTGTTTCAACCTCTTCTGTTTATTTTGTTTAAAATATAACAAAAAAATTAGCTCTCAGTAATTGACTTTGCTTTGCACAGAACTCAGAAGCAACAAATTCTATTATTCTATTGTCTTCATTAATGGCATTGGCTCCAAACGGATTTCTCCTGTCTTAAAGAAAAAATTCGTAGTAATATATTATTCTACTAAATAACAAGATATACATCCCAAGTTCTCTATATATATAGTTGGCCCGTGTAGCACGGGCCCAACAATTTGTGTAACATTATCTTTAATTCAAATTATCTTTCATGGTTTTTGCAATTTTATTAAGAAAATCAGTTAGTAGCATAAATGACTAAGTTAGAGTAGCATCTTTGTACCATTTTTGCCCAGTTGCTTTTTATTTTCTTATTTCAATGTTATTTGACAATATAGATGTATTTTCCTGCATCTATAGCATTAGCAGTCATGTTATTACGAGCTAGTATATTGGTTTTTATGGCAGTACTACAAAATCTTGTTAGTTACTGCATCATAAAAAGAAATAAAGCTCTCTGCTATAAAATGAGAAACTGTGTTATAGCTCAAATATTCTCATCAGATTGATACTTACTTCAGGGAAAGAAAATATTGTACACAACTCCTACATTTTGTTATATTCGGGGAAAACTTCAACAATATGAAGTCCGACAAAAGTCATTCTTGGGAAGTCGCACTGGAAAAACAACAGCATCAACTTGTCAATTCTATTCTAGAGCTCTCGCAGAATCTTTTGGTCCAGGTTCTCTCTATCTGCACAAGCTTTTTGTCCAGGTTTTTCTTGCTAATAATTTTCCGCAATTCAACTATAACTATGCTGGATGGTAGTGTGTAAGCACAACGATGTCATGATCAGAATAGAACAACTGCTGCAGATCTTTTGCATCAAATATGAGTTCTTTTTTGGACTTCTACATAAAATGTGAGTTCTACCACAACCATCTTTTTACCGTTTCCTTGAGCTATATTGCTTCCCTTATTCAAAGCTGCGAACAATTTGATCCCTAATGTGTCCAAGTAAGGGAATGTATACTGAGAAAAGAGCTAACAATAACTCGCCAGTCGGCACCATAGAAGTTAGGTAGTTAAACAAATCCCAAAATCACAAAGTGCAATGGAGGAGAAATAATAACAAATGCCAGCAGGGATAACAAAAGAATGAATCACTTCCAAAATCCTTGTTTTTCTATACCAAACATAATAAAAGATCATACATTATTGTCACATATATCTTTCCTTATTCAAAGGTAAAGAAGAGAATGACGGCAGATTTTTGAGACTCTTCTGCTTTTCCTTCTCATCTAAACTGAAATTTTTTAAAGTCTTAACTAATCGTTAGACAAAAAAAAAAATTCAGCAGGACAAATGTTTTTGAGAACCTTATTGCAACACGTTACCAACTTATCCAAGCAATTTAGCTTCCAAATAAGCTTCATGCAAGTGCAATCTAGTTAGAAACAATTAGACAGAATTTCAAGTCGTGCTTCAGTTGTTCCTGTAAAAAGCTCTCAACCAAGTTAACTTTTAAGCCCTTCTTAGTTGCAACAGTTGGCAGGAAAACTTAAAGTATGAAAGCACCTCAATACGCAAAAAGTAATTCTCATGTGCACGTAGTTTACAGAAAAGAGGAGTAATAATTTCTGAGGAATTAACTTTTCCCTTTCTATGTCCTATCAAGAAATCAAGATGCTACTCCAACAGAATAGATATTCTTAGCAGGTTCTACTGTTAAAGTAATATCTTCTTCTCCCTATTCTAAACATCGTCTTCTAACTGCTTCTACCATCTTATCAGCGCACACCTAATACAATAGACTGAAAAGTATATTAACTCTATTTATTTCAAAGTTTCATTGGAAAATGAGTACACAGTATACATCAGAAGTGTCAACTTTCACTTGATCCCAAAGGCAACTTCATTGGCATCTCGAAAAGTAAGTTCTTGATGAATCTTCTTCCTTAAACATGGCTATAGAGGTTATTTACATACCATTCTATTAATACAATCGACCGAAAAGTATACTAACTCTATAGTTTCATGGAAAATGAGTACACAGTATACATCAGAAGTGTCAACTTTCACTTGATCCCAAAGGCAACTTCATTGGCATCTCGAAAAGTAAGTTCTTGATGAATCTTCTTCCTTAAACATGGCTATAGAGGTTATTTACATACCATTCTATTAATACAATCGACCGAAAAGTATACTAACTCTATAGTTTCATGGAAAATGAGTACACAGTATACATCAGAAGTGTCAACTTTCACTTGATCCCAAAGGCAACTTCATTGGCATCTCGAAAAGTAAGTTCTTGATGAATCTTCTTCCTTAAACATGGCTATAGAGGTTATTTACATACCATTCTATTAATACAATCGACCGAAAAGTATACTAACTCTATAGTTTCATGGAAAATGAGTACACAGTATACATCAGAAGTGTCAACTTTCACTTGATCCCAAAGGCAACTTCACTGGCATCTCGAAAAGTAAGTTCTTGATGAATCCTCTTCCTTAAACATGGCTATAGAGGTTATTTACATACCATTCTTGAACACTTATAATTCCTGTTTATGGAGGCTTCCTTGGCTAAGAGCCAGAATGCTTCAGAAAAGTACAGATTAAGAATTTAATCACGATTTAGCCCCTGCCAGAGAGTATTATTAATTGATTCTTGGATACTTAAAAAGGATGTAATACCAATGGTTCATGGATCCTTAAAAAGGATTTCCGATCATCCCTTCATTAAGGGCTAACATATCTAAAATTTGCCAGCTTTATTTATCACCTGATATGCAGTTTTTAGTTAAAGATTCTAGGTATCCTTTTTAATTAACCTTCTAGCATGCNAAACCAAAGAAAACTTTTATTAGGCACATGTCTAATACTTCTTCAATGAGATGGACCTCATCAGCTCAAACCAATTCTGAAAGTACATTTATACTTATTCGGGAATATTTAGCTTACTCCTTGAAAGTTTCTCAACTTCATGGTAGATCGACTTCTTGCGATCATTATGTCAATACAGAAACTCAGTTGAAACTTCAGCATAAGGACACACACCTAACAATTTTAGGTATTTACTGTACTACAGGTGAAAGAAATATTGCAACAGATACAAAAATGATACAGTATTAACTCTTGAGATGTCATTCAAGTAATTCCTGGAAAAGTTTTACATAAAACTTTTTTGGCATATACGAATGGCTATGAGTATACACATTTATCATCTTCTCAATTGTAATTGGGCTGGATGGGCATATTTAAAAAGGATAAACCAAAAAGTTGCTTGCCCTTAACACTTAACTCTTGGTAGACTCTTTTGCTTGAAATCTTTGTTGATTAAGCTAAAATTCGATACACACAGTGTTTGGCAGTTAGTTTATGTCAGCAAACCTTGTATTGCTACAGCTTTCTACTGGGTAAATAGACTCGTAGAGACTATCAGGTAATGCTGCATAGTCAAATCCTCAAAGTATAGTTTCGTGCTTCAAATACTACTACTTTGAGGCATCAGGTCTAGTGCAAACTTGATCTCTAAAATGGATGCCCTCAATAAAAGAAGTTAATTCCTAATTTACTACTTCCTGGCAGAGGAAAGCCCAACACTTTGACAGCACTTTACTTATCGAGGGGAAAAAACCCAATACTTTAACAAAGGCAAAAATCAACTTTAAAATCCCCCCCCCCCCC